TGCTTTTATTTTTGTTCAGTGTGTTGTAAACATGGAAAGAAAGGTATGGTTGGCACATCCTAAAGTATGGACATATATCACAGACTACTTATATTATTATGAAAAAATACGTGATATCCATAGTTATGGTTACTGCATCAATAGGCAATGACTGGCTACTTATATTGATGTAGCAACAGAAGATCTATGTTTGGGTGATCCATAGATATGGAAAAATTACAAACAGAAATATGGCTGTGTCATCAATTTAAATTTAAGATACTTCTATAACGCTGCTTGTAAGGATTAAGAATATAGTTATTGAGACAGAAAAAACTTTAAATTCAATTAACTGAATTTCATTCAACTTTAGATATTTTACACAAATTACAATCAATTCATACCGCTTCACAATGGGCCAGGAACACCGATTTTTGTCGAAAAAGTTAAAAAAATTTCCCAAAAAGTCATCACTCGAATTTGCTATTGGTTTTTAAAAATTCATAATGTCGAATCCAATATGGTGTGCGAAATATTAAAATTTTAACAGATTCGCTTCAAAATCGTTACTCGGGAGTTTTTGTGGTCGTTGATTACGAATATGGCAACAGATTTTCAAAATTCAAATTGACGGATACAATATGGTGTACTAAAAGTTAAAAATCAATCAAATTCGCTTGAAACTTGTTACTCAAAGGTTTCTGGGACTGCTAATTACGAATATAATATTTAAATTTAGAAATTCAAGATGGATTTAAATTGGCAGCATAATATTTTTAGGAAATGGAATAACTTTTCTGAATTTTTAGTTTTCTAAATTGCGAAGTACCAAAAAAGGCAATGAAATATTTTTAAAAAGTGCCAAACTTTTTCAATAGTTTTAGATAATTGTATTAGTCCTACTCACGCGCTTCATCACTACATCAATTTGGCGTAATAAATATGGCTAGCAATATTACGTTATATAAAAAAATTATATTTAATGGTTGTTTTCAGGGGTTGTGAATCGGGAAAATTTTTCAGCAACAGGTGAAAAAAAATGATTGGAAAAAAGAATGTGCTATAGCATATTCTTTTTTCCAATCAATTTTTTCATCCACTAGAATTCCAAAACTTAGTATTTTAAAGTATTCGCACCCTTGGACAAAAACTCACTTTCTTTTTAAGAGGGGTAAGTGGAACTCATTGAAACAAATGAATCCACTCTAAGCTCCTTTGAAAGAGCACGATTCAGGCTTCAATTTTTAATAATAACGAATTTTATATCAAGTGAAGATTTTGCTCCATGAATTTTCAAAAAGTGTCAAAAAACGCTGTTCTTAAGGGTTTCAACCCAATTTTTCTTAAAAACCTGACGTGATAGAGCATTTTGAACACCGGATTCGTGTTCAGCGCAAAAATTTCCTTTAGAAACACTTAGTCCCATTTATCATACAGAAAATGTTTTTAAATCTGAAGGTCTAGGTCATTTAATGGTGAAAAATGATTGCATGATCCCTGTGCCGCTTATATATGTGTTAAAAATTACAAATTTGAAAATGTACATACCTATATTGTAGTACACACCTAGAGCAGAATTTAACACCTCATATTATTAAATAGAGCGAGGAAGTTCGGGAAAGTTTTATTCGCAAGTGCCCACACAGCACCCAAAATTCCCTGAAACTTGAAAGAGCCTCACACGGCGAGGTTAGGAAACAAGGTTCATACAAGTTTGTGTCGATGTTTAAATGTCCACATGAAAAGAATATTTACACGAAACTTTGAAGAAATATTACTCTGTAAATATTCACGTGCAATGTTCAGTTAATGTTGTGTCAATATTCACCTATACTTATTATATTAGTAAATGAAATTTTTATTACTAGGCTAAAATGTAATTTCAATATTGACACAACATTGACTCAACATTGCACGTGAATATTTATGTGTAAAATTTCCTCAAAGTTTCGTGTGAATATTCTTTTCATGTGGACATTTAAATATCGACACAAACTTGTATGAACCTTGCCACTGAAGTTTCCTAACTTCGCCATGTGAGGTTCTGTCAAGTTTCAGGGAATTTTGGGTGCTGTGTTGGCGTGTACTTAATATAAAAAAATCGGACAAGTGCGAGTTAAACTCGCATTAAAACCGAGGGTTCCGTACCCCTAAACCTAAAATTTGAGGGGTTTATAGTGTGAACGATATCACCGTGATATCACCTTGATGTCACCATGATATCACCTCGATGTCACCGTGTGATATCACCGTAAGGCAGACATTTTGACATTTTCCTGATGTGAAGTCGGTTCTCCAATGGGCACGTTTGTAAGCGAACGTGAACGTGTACGTGCTGACGTCACAATGTTGTGCAAGTGGGTAACGTCAGCACGGTACGTACACGTTCACGTACAAACGTGTCCATTGTAGAACCGACTTCACGGTGACATTCCCCGGTGATATCACCGTGACATCTGGTTGATATATCGTGCTACTTGGGTTGGTTCTATTTAGATACCTAAAATCGATACTATTTTAGTACTTTCTTTTTACAGTGTAAAAATAAAAAAAAATTAAGAAATTTCGTTTGAAATATATACGGCTACAATGAAAAAAAATTATTTATAATTTTATATAACTTACAACAAATTATTGCAATTCCTTTATTATTTCATTATGAAACATAATTGAAAACAAATATTTTAAAAATATAAATTTATATATTCGTATATAAATAAGAAAAAACTTACCAATTTGCAAATATTTCAAAAAAAAATTTTTTCAAAAAATTTATGTTTTATTAAACATTTTGTGTGTAACTTTTTTCTTTCTTTACACTTTTTCTAAAATTATTACATTATTACATTGTTACACTGTTTACTATATGAGAACAGCTGTCACTAGGCGCAGACATATTTTGAAAACTTCTAAGTACACCGCTTTTCCGCTAGAGGCGTCATAATCGGAGATATTTAATTTCGGATTTATTCTCATGCAGGGGGCCTATATGCTTAACAAGCAGTGAGTGCTCCTTATACTACTTCATGGATGGTTTAAATCTTAAAATGTTGGCATGTGAACAAATGTTTAATGCGAAACTTGACTGAATATGTAAATTACATTTTCGTTAAAGATTCAAAATGAGACTTGACTGAATATGTAAATTACATTTTCGTTGAAGGTTCAAAATAAAAGTAGACTTAATATATGAACCGCTTTTACAGTGACGAAAAATATTTTTTTTAACTAAATTTAATTACTGTTTAAATAATAGTCTTCACATATAAAAAAGGATAAAATAATATAATTATAAGTAAAAAAATGAAATAAGTAAACATTTAATTATAATTATTATCATCCATTTATTGGTACGGATATATTACATATAAAAACATTTATATAGAATATATATTTTTATTTTATTATTTTCATTTATTTTATTCTATCCTTTTTTATATGTAAAGATTATTATTTAAACAGTAATTAAATTTATTAAAAACAAATATTACTTCCCAGTGTAAATGCGGTTCATATATTAAGTCTACTTTCATTTTGAACCTTCAACGAAAATGTAATTTACATATCCAGTCTACTTTCATTTTGAATCTTCAACGAAAATGTAATTTACATATTCAGTCAAGTATCGCATTAACCCTTTCGTGCCCCCGGGAAACCCACCGGACGGATTTTGTTGAAACTTGTTATTCGGGGGTTTTCGGGGTCGCTGATTACGAATCCGATGTTAGTTTTTCAAAATTCAAAATGGCGGATCCAATATGGCGGAATTTTTTTTTAAATTTGCTTGGATTTGCTTAAAAATTGGTACTCGGGGGTTTTTGAGGTCGCCGATTACGAATCCGACGTTAGTTTTTCAAAATTCAAAATGTCGGATCCAATATGGCGGACATATTTTTTAAAAATTGCTTGCATTTGCTTAAAAATTGGTACTCGGGGGTTTTTGGGGTCGCTGATTACGAATCCGATGTTTGTTTTCCAAAATTCAAAATGGCGGATCCAATATGGCGGACATATTTTTTAAAAATTGCTTGCATTTGCTTAAAAATTGGTACTCGGGGGTTTTTGGGGTCGCTGATTACGAATCCGATGTTTGTTTTCCAAAATTCAAAATGGCGGATCCAATATGGCGGACATATTTTTTAAAAATTGCTTGCATTTGCTTAAAAATTGGTACTCGGGGGTTTTTGGGGTCGCTGATTACGAATCCGATGTTTGTTTTCCAAAATTCAAAATGGCGGATCCAATATGGCGGACATATTTTTTAAAAATTGCTTGCATTTGCTTAAAAATTGGTACTCGGGGGTTTTTGGGGTCGCTGATTACGAATCCGATGTTTGTTTTCCAAAATTCAAAATAGCGGATCCAATATGGCGGAATATTTTTTGAAAATTGCTTGGATTTGCAGGTTTGTAGGAAGCACGGTCTTCCACACCACCTGAGAGGTTCCGATAATGGCGCGTTAGGATTTTTTTTACAGTGATCCTTCGCCAAGAGCCCTATAACACTTTTTCAGGTAACTTCTACTTACCGTGGAATTTACGGAAACATCCTTCGATACATAAAGGGACGTTGCACCCTATGCAAACAACGTTTGTTCGCTTTTCTTGTTCCTTTGTAGAACAAAAATGGCAACGTCGGCGATTTTTTTGAACGTCGGGCAGGTGGTCAACAATTTCTGACGTTTCTTCAAAATGTTTTCTTTTTTTTGTGACATGAGTTGTCAAAGCTGGACCTTTTGAAGCAGAAAACTTTGCAATTAGTTGCTTTGCCAAATTCAGTCGGAATGTGAGTTGATCCACCACACGTTTATGATGAATTTGATAAACCTCCCATAATTTTATTATAGGTTGCAATAGCACCTGGACATTCTACATTAATCCTACTTCCATTTTTTAGGGTTCTTTTTACAGTAGACAATGTCTCCGAATTATGAGCTGTGGAAAGAAGAGTGACAATCTTTGCATCCAACCACTTGATTCCCTGAACGCATCCCATGTGTCTTATTTCTGACTCTCCTCGTTTCAGTTTTTTTTGTTCTTCATAATCTCTGGTAAGCCTTTTCGATTTACCCGAACAGTGCCTACTGAAAATATTTGATTTTGAAGAAGTGAAGTTACTAGATCCACAGAAGTAAAGAAGTTGTCGAATGCTACTAATGATTTGCTTCCACGCAAATCCTTAGTAAGATTCGTAACAACTCGTTCACCAAGAGTTTCTTGGCTCTTCTGTGAATCTGTGGATTTTCCAGTGTAAATTTCAAACTTCAAAATGTACGAAGATTGTGAGTCAGCCAAACACCAGACCTTATATCCCCTTTTTATTGGCTTCATTGGCATGTACTGCTTGAGAGATGATCGACCCTTGAATTTTATCATAGATTCATCAACAGCTAGTACTTTAGAAGGAGAGTAAATTTCCTGAGCCTTTTTGTTCAAATGATCAACAAGCGGTCTTACTTTGAACAACCTGTCATAATTCGGATCACTTTTTTCAAGAACTTTGTTGTTGTCATTCAAGTGAAGAATTTCAGCTATTTTACTAAATCGATCACGAGTCATTATATTGGCAATAAAATCAACTCTAAGTGCTGGATCTGTGCTCCAAAAATTTTTCTGTTGAGGTAAACGATGTATTCCCATCAATATCAACATACCAATCCAAGCACGTAGCTCATCAATCGATAACTCATAAGCATACTTTGACTCTTTTTTTTTATTTTGATGAAAATACATATTGGTTTCCTCAACAATTTTTTGTAAAATGTCTTGGGTGAAAAACAAATCAAAGAAATCGGATTCTTTGACTTTTTTCCCCATTTGTACTAAAATTGTTGGGTCCTTTTCAAAATTCAAATTATCCCTACAATTCCAACGGTCTGCCACCCATTTTCCATTTTCAGTATTGTGTGGATTTTCAGAATCACTGCAATCTGTATCATCGCTGTCTTGGTCTACGCTATTCGCGTCATCGTCAGAATCTGAAAGATCATATCTTTCTTCTTCCTCAGACTCAATGTCTCCTTCTGAATCTTCCGGATCAGATGGAAGTGAAAAATTTTCCAAGTTCTTTCTTACTCGAGAACGAGTATTCATTTTAGAGAAATAGTATATTACGATACTAGGCCAGAAAGTTGGATTTCCTGGCGGGCGTGAAATATAAGGCCGAGGCGAAGCCGAGGCCTTATATCACGCTCAGCAGGGCATCAAACTTTTTGGCCGTGTGTCGTATACAATTTTTCTTTATCCCCACTCGAAAGTACGTTTAATAATTATTATTTTTTAATAAAATGGCATTAACCATGTGTCTACTGCTGTGGCTCGCGTCAGCGCGCCCTCCCGGCCACGTAGCGAAGCTTGTAGCAGAAGGCTTAGTTACAGATGACAGGTAGCCCGCCCGACTTTTGCAAAACCGAGGCGAAGCCGAGGTTTTGCTGGTCGGGGCGGGCGTCAAAATTATATGAAAAATATAAATAAAACGCACAAAAATCCAATGCACGAATAATAATTTGGCATATGGAATTTAGTTTATTAACCATAAGGCATCTAATCACCTGTGTTGTGTCTTTGTGTATATATAGTTAACCTTTGAAAATTTTTGTTTACTTTATAATAGTGGATGAAAGTGAAAGATTTTCAGTTTAGACATTTAAAAAGAAGGAGAAAGTACAATAACACTTACACAAGTACATCTTATTTATACATGATTTGTCACTTTTTTTTAACTTAGGTTGCTTATTTTTGTGGTTATTTACCGCACTTGACACAAAACAGGCCATGAAATAAGCGTTGCTATGTGGTTGCTATGCCATCAAGCCTTTAAAGTCTCGTAGCCAATCAGAGCGCACGTTGTTTCTGGCCGGCCACAAAAGCCGTTCTTCCCTGAACGATTACCGACAGGGAAGTCCGTACTTTCGGGTAGGGGATACAGAAAAGAAATTTTACTTATTTAAAAGTGTAAATTTTTATAGGAAAAAATTAACAAAAAAATTAACGTAAATAAGTTAAAAAAACTGAAAAAATGTAAAAAAAAATAAAAAAAGTACAAAAAAAACTTGAAAAATAACTAAAGAAACAAAAAAATGATCCAAAAATAACTGCTTGTAAGGAAAACAAAACTAAAAAAGAATAAGGAGTAAGACAGAATAAGAATAGGAAAGAATAAGAAACTAAGAGAGAAAGGAAAAGAAAAGCTCTGAAAAGAACTGATTTATATTTTTAGACTATTAGTATCCACCTACCTGCAAGAACACACGAAAAATTTGTAATATTTTTATCTCAAAGTTGTCTGTACTTATATATATACTTCTCAATGCGTCTTGATTGTGAGAGAACCTACCCTAACTATGCATGCACCACCTAGCGGACGAAAGTTCAATTACAATGTAAAGCGCTCTAATACCTGGTGACTACACAGGTCAACAAAGCGCCAAAAGTATTGAGGTAAAGCGCGCGTTTTTATGAAAATGATGATAACTATGCAAATGAACGTAATCATAATAATAACAATTTTTCTATTATTTTATGAATAAAATTTAATTACCCTTTTATACGTGTTCCAAAAATCAAAAAATAATATATTGAATAAAATTTAAATAATAAACAGATTGTTAATTTTTAAACATTGATATTTATGATCTAAAATATAGTTTTGAATTTTCTTCACTATTCTGGAAAAGTCGATTTGAATTTTTAAAAAGTGACATTAGTTTCGCATTCATCATATTTCAAAAAATCTTGAGTTGTGGATTTCTTGAGCTTAAATAAATTTTATGAGAAACTCGTTCGCTATATTGGATCCGCCATTTTGAATTTTCAGAAACTAACATCAGATTCGCAATCAGCGACCCCAAAAACCCCCGACTACCAATTTTTAATCAAATGCAAGCATTTTTTAAAAAATATGTCCGCCATATTGGATCCGCCATTTTGAATTTTGAAAAACTAACGTCGGATTCGTAATCGGCGACCTCAAAAACCCCCGAGTACCAATTTTTAAGCAAATCCAAGCAAATTTAAAAAAAAATTCCGCCATATTGGATCCGCCATTTTGAATTTTAAAAAACTAACATTGGATTCGTAATCAGCAACCCCGAAAAATCCCGAGCAAAAATTTTAAACCAAATCCAATGAAGTTTTAAAAAATTTCGATAAATTTTTTTGAAAGCCCGCCATATTGGTTCCGCCATTTTGAGTTTTTTTTATTCTGACTCCAAATTCGTGATTAGCGACCCCAGAAGCATAAGAAAACGTAGTGGTGTTAAAAATTATTAACTATGTGACAAAGAAATTAGTTAGTACTTATATAACTTATTTTTTAAAAAATAGCAATATTTTTGTTATTGTTTAAATTAATTATAACATCGTTATGTAATTTATCATTTTTTTACACATAGTAGTGTCCAAAGGTAACAGAAAAAAATTTACCGCTTATTGATTCCTTCAATTTTATAAGAATGACATTAAATTTTGTAAGTGGGACATATATGTCCCGGAGGCACGAAAGGGTTAAACATTTGCTCACATGCGGACATTTTAAGATTTAAACCATCTTTTCTGAACGCGGAGATGGAACTTTCTCAAGGTAACCTAAAAACATTCTGTGAAGCTTCAGGGAATTATCGGTGCTGTGTGGGTACATTATTGTACGTAACTGTATAGTAATGAGGATTAAAATATTCAATATAATCTACCTAAATATTTTTTTAGATTTAAACACCACGTTTTTTTTAACACGTGGAAAAATATCCTTAAAATTACTCAAAATAACTTTACTTTTTAATTGTAGAAGATATGTCAATTTATTAATTAATAACCTGCAAATGCCTTCCATTATTAAATTAGTAAATAATTAAAGATTTCACAACAGATCGCACTTCGCGATTAAAAAAACTCGACTATCTTACGCTACCAAACAATAAAACTGATGTGGTTAGAATACCTTGAACTTGGGCGCATTCGCGCAATCGGTATCAACTATAGATATGGCTGTCTGAACCATACCTTCCCGGTTGAAAAAACTTTTACAGGATCGTGTAAACGACCTTGTGCATGATCGTGCACTGATCTTGCACATGTTCATTCACCAAGTCATGTACAAGAGCTGCAAGTGAACATGTAAAAAGAATTAGAATAACGATCTTGTACAATGAAAATGCATATGTTCATATTTATGTCAACAGATGGAATCCACTACACGAGTCCGTGCTCGTATACTTGAACAAGATCGTGTGTAAGATCATGTATAAGATCTTGAGTTTTCCTTTATAGTTTTTAATCAAAATATTTAATGGCTGTGCAGTAGTTTTTTGCATGTATAAACAAGGAGTATTTATGATCAATGTTAAAAAATTTCCACAAATTTTGTAAAAATAAAAAAATTAACACAAGATCATGTACATGAATTTACGCACGATCTTATACAAGTAACACGAACATGGACTCGTGAGTTTTATTTCTTTAGTTATCATGAATAAACATGTGCATGTTCTTGTACAAATTCTTGAATAAGATTTTGTACAAGATCGTTGTTCCAATTCTTTTTACATGTTTACTTGTAGCTCTTGTACAATACTTGATGAATGAACATGTGCAAGATTGGTGCACGATCATGCAAAAGATCGTGTACACGATCCTGTACAAGTCTTTTCAACCGGGTTATATGGATGAGGCAGCCATATGTGAAAATCCTCAGCTCAATTGTCATCTTAACTATATAACTATAGATGTCATAACCATATCTAATTTAAAAATATAATATGGCTCCATCATCCATTTTATATTGAAACCTCTTTCATATTAAAAGTTGCCTCTTCCATTTAATTAGATAACATAAAAAAACGATGCAATACAAATAAATAAAGTTATTGCAATTCTGAAGCTACCATTCGAAAGCAAATATAATTCCGCATTCAACGAGTCCAATATGATGCATTTTTGTTAAATATGTTTTTTATAAACAATTGTAATGATTATCAATTGTTTATAAAAAATCCACGAATTCTAAATAGTTCATATATTAAGCTCGTTGGATGTGGAATTACGTAAGTTTTCTATTAGTAGCTTTAGAATTGCGATAACTGTATTTTTTGTAAAATATTTTATTTTTTATTAACATTAATTAATATCTCAAAAACCAGAAAAAAATAACATTTTCATATTTTTTGTTAAAGCAATCACGGCTAGAGCAGAACTATGTGCAAGTTACAGCCTGATCTGATCAACTTTTTTTTCACTTACAATTGCCCTATGGGTCGAGCACATAATACGTCACACAATTTTTGACTCTTTCTTACTACCCTCCCCCCATGTCACATTTTGTCGTTAGCATATTTATAATATACCAATAGATATTAAACAGATGACAAATATTAACCCCTTGACTGCACAGCGGAGGCACTGTAATTGTATAAAAGGGGGACTATATAACCTTAGTTTCAGGTAAAAGGTGCAGATGTCGACCTGGTAGATCATGGTTATGCGCATGTGCAAATTTTAAATTCAAATTATGCTTTTTCATTTTCATGATTATAATTGTTTTATTAATCATTTTTGTGTCTTTATGTAAACCACATATGAGAGATTCTTTTTCAATCGCCCCAGCCCAAAAAGTCAATGTTCTGGGATTGGCTTCATACTTTGGTAAATTGTTGTCCTATATGATAGTAATAAATCCCTAAAATATAAACTAATTAAAAAAATATTTGTAGAAAGTAGAGGGGGTTGAAGTTTTGACGTTAAGGGTAACATTGTCATTTTCAAATCCGTTTAACTATGACAAAAGTTAATGGATTTTAATTTATCTATAATGAATTTTATTGCAATTTTCACGTACTTTTCAAAAATGTATACGAAATTTAAAAAAAAAAATTTTTAACCCCTTTTTTTTCAAAATCAACCCTTATTTTTCGATTTTCACCCCTTCGGGTATTTTTTTTTTTTTTTTATTTTCATTGGAAAGTTGAGGTTTTTTCCGATGAGCTATGTAAATATGAAAATGGGACAACAATAATTTTGTGAGAAACATAATATTAAATTAGGCGGTGCCGATAAGGGGTGTACCTGGAGATCATCTTTGAGGATTTAGATACCCACCG